TTCTCCCCCATATTGTTTGTCCCAACAGAGAAACAGCCTCCCCACAAGCCAGGACTAAGGCTTTGTATATTTCGACTTTACTTCCTCTTTGTGGGTATTAGTAGCGTCGTAAATTTGTAATGGGAGATAGCTGGATATTAAAGGGGCGAGCTCCTGTTTGCAATTGGAGCAACTCCATAATTGGTTGTTGAGGCGATATAATGCGAGGTTAGATAGAGGTTGAGGACTCAGATGAAAATGGTAAGAGAGGCACTATCGAGAAGTCATCAAATGGAGATATGCATGAGGTTGCGATTCTTCTTGGCTATCCCAGATATGCAGAGCATACTGAGTAATTACACTGAAACCACTGGAAGGTGAAGAATACGTCTTTGCCGGCTAACCAGTCTGAAATTGTACTTTATTCCACCCATCAATTCTTGGCAGAGACAATACATGTGCCACTAATAAAGTCGAAGAAGATCCTCTCTTCCCATAATGACAATTCAATACGTATAATCAGGTATGAACAAGGAATTACTCCCACAAGTGGCGAGCCACGCGATAAATTACGAGTCATGTAGCTTGACAGACCTACAACCCATGCAAAGAACAATAAATTATTGCTGGGCTCCTTTGCAAAGTAGAAAATCCATCATTTTAAATTGGAGACGAAATACCCGATCATTCTGAATGGTGGGTTGCTTGAGTCTTTCTACAAAAACAATTCAAAATATATATGCTTGTTGCCACCTTCAAATCTAAATTTTAAGAACTCCAAATATTTTTGAGTTCCAGATTGTGAATTTGAACAACAATATCTCCAAAACAAGTCAAGCCGGCATCAGAAACTTGATCTACAATGAAGATTAACAGTCGCGCCTTTATCATCTACCTCATGAGTCACATAAAAGTCATTGATGCCTTGAACTCATATCTCTGTCAGGATGGTTTCACTATTACCCCTCAAATGCTCTCAGATGCATTGCGTAGAGATTGGGATAGTAAATACACAAGAATGCACATCGAATATGGTAGAGCACAAAGGCGTTTTCTAATTGAACATTGTAAGGGTGGTTGTAATTGTAAGGCAATCTCCACGACTCAAAATTTTTAAAGATTCTGATAAGGCATAGTTAAGCAGCCTGTGTTTTACTCAGTCATTGCCGACCGAAATAGGAGGATAATAAGAGTTGAAATGAAGTCATATGACTATTATTATGATTGTACGGAGACAAATTAGTTAAGGTAATGAATAAACCTAAGCTTGCAGTAATTTTTTCGTTTTTTATCTAACGACGTGTCAGCTCATAGCACGACCATGAGTTATTGTATTTTCCAGCTCATTCTTCTTCTTTCATCCATTTACTAGTTCAATGCGCGAGGCCTCATGGTGCGACCCTCAGTATCTATTAGCAAATATGAACCATGTAATCATTCGAATTCACTATTAAATTTTGCAAGCTATTAGATTTTTTGTAGAGGTCTTTCATAATTACAAACTCAATAGGGACTTTGGTTCAACTCTATTCCAATCTTAATTATCAGGCTAAAGCCCGATATTCATGAGGCTTGACACGGTAGCTTGTTCTCAAAGGACACATCTACCACTGAAGTTGGCTTTATGTGGCCAGAAATTTGTATGATTGAAAAATTAGAATATCAAGGGAAGTTTATGCTTCCTAAACTCAACGCTCTGCCCCTAATCAGGTCTCTCACATAAAAGCTCGCATGTACTAAATGTATCCCAGAAAACCTCAGTCTTTCCTGTTATGAATCTACTTATTGGCAGAATTTCGAAGTTGTTGAGCTGCAGAGGTCGAGTCAATTTCGACGAAGACAAATTATCGGAGGTTCGAGGCTACGAAGTTACGAAGGTGCGAATGAAGGTAATTGAGGCTCGAATTATCAAAGGTTACGAATTCATATGTTCAGATTATCATATTAACAAAATATCGAGTTCCCAATAAGCAAATTATACAATAAACAAAAATTTTTTAGAACTAAAGAACAAATACAAAGGTCCAGCTTGAACAAATCTAAATCCTCTTGTCTCAGCCCTAACCAAATTAAGAAGATAACCCCTGCATCACCACATCCAGATTAAATCTAACAAATTCATAACATTTCCGGTCTAGTTTTGCTCTCCATAACATCTAGTCATGGGGGCTTTCCTCAACACCTGTCAGTTGTGTCTCTTACAAACCTCCAGCTCTCACTCTAGAGTCTGCAGAGCCAAGATTTAGTAACAAAGTGCTAACTTTGATGAGGATTCCCAATCGCTTTTAGAATCTATATCGTCTTCATCTCTCAACACATTCCCCTATCACAACTATCATGAAGCTAACCACGATCAGATCTGATGGTAGGGCCGAAGTCCTCATCTTCTTTTTTTATTCATAGTGTATTCAGCTTGTTGTAATTTAACGCTGTTCAATCCGACAGTCTCAGAATCGAACACTTCAGTTCCGTTGAAATTATGGAGTACAGAGATAAGTCAGGTGATGGTTAATGGAAGTAATTGACGAAGGGTTTGGTTGTTGAGTTTTCTATAATTTCGATGTTGGGATACACTTCGTCGATCCTACTAGGTTCGATAATTAGTAGTCCCGACCGACTGATGTTTGGTGAATGGAGATTGTGTATACCCTGTGCTAGCTTTTTTTTGTTGTTATTTTTTTATCATTTAATGTGTATTCACCTATCTAGCTACGACAAATGACCGGTTTTATGTATCCATATTGGGGGTTGGATGGTGCAGTGGTGCACCATGCGGGCCGTTTTCCCAAGTAGAAACTAGGTAGATTGAGCACCTACCCCATTCGAGACAGGAGAAAGTGGATCGAATCCAGTAAAACCCACACACCACTCTCTCGCGCGGTTACATTGTAGTTGTGTGATGATTAAAGCACACTCGGAAAGCCACAGGGTTATCACGCTTTTCCCAGTGGTGTGTATGCACGGGAGAGGTTACACGCCGTGAGGGTTAACCTCGAGTGGTATCTGCAAATGAAATCTGAGTAAGAGTGTTCTAAATGTCAACCTGAATCTTCCTACTAAAAGCACATATCTTCCGATCAAAAACCCGCAAGGGCCTCAAGGCGCCAAATCAGGAAATATGAATATTATATATTTGTACATGTTAGATGACATCTTTTCTGACGTTAGAGACACTCATTCTCTGGATTTCATTCGCAGATATCACTATGAGGCATGTTCGCTTACACAAACAGTCGACCCTCCTCCGTAAGTACCCACCAAAGGGAAATTTCAAAACCTTTGATTATCCAAGCATGCTTTCGTCATCCATGCATACCAGCGCCGCGAGAAATGTGGTTGTGTTTTGCTGGATTTGAACCAGCGAGTTACTGTCTCAAGTGGGATATGTGTTCAAGCTATCCAGACTCTACTCGGCAGACCGGCCAAGACAATTTACCACCGCACCATCCAACCATGGCGGTGTTTAGAGTGTCGCCAGTACTCTCGCAACCGAAACCTTGGTACGCATAAAGCTCAATTTATAAAAACTCCTTATCAAACTTCAAAATTCCACGCCCGTCGAGACTGTATTCATCCTTCACATCATCTTGTTAACTTGTCCTGAATCCTCTCATGCCAATCCCAAAGAACAGTCTCACAGATTTGTGCGCCACGCTTTGTGTCCTCCGTCGGATATAAATATCGGCGTGGGCGTATACTTGGTGACCGGCTGAGGCCAGAGAAAGTCGACGAGAGTTGTGATTATTGGAATGAAGATGTACTAGGTCGTACTTGTAGACTTGATGAGGCCTAGGTAGGAATCGGACTCTTTGGGAGTGAAGATTTGACGTGGTGGAGTAATTTGAATCATTGCCTCGTGGGCCAACTTGTTCGTTATTGCGAAATTTGACTGAACTTGGCTCTGGGAGAATATTTCACTCTCAGGTTCGTAGAGGACACCGCGTACAAGTGTTCAGTCTTGCCCTCCGACAGCCTTGGTTGTTAAGCACAGAATGAGCGACTGGAACCCAGGCTCGTTCGCGTGATGACCAAGGTAGAAGGACGGATTTAAAGGCTGAGCAACTTACAGTGATGCCCTCTACGAACCTGGGAGTCAAATAATCTCCTATAGCCAAGTTCAGTCGAATTTCGAAATACCAGAGACGATGGTGCAGAAGTCAATACTTTATGATAATCCACATTATCAATTTTTACCTCCCAACAAGATCGATCCCTACTAAATCCTTATTAAGTCTGCAAGTACCACCTAATAATTACTCAATTTCATCTCCACACCTCCCGTCGATCATACCCTGGCCTCAGCCGACCACAAAATATACGCAACTCCGATATATACAGCTGCCTAAGGAAATAAAGCGTGGCACATAAATCTGGAGGGTTGTTCTTTGGGATGAGCTTGAGAGAAATTGGGACGCGTTTACAAGATGATGAAAACGGTAGATACAAAACTCGCGAGGGGAGAAATATTGAATATTGGGAAAAATTCTACAAACTGATGAGCATGTGCGCGCCAAGCCTTCGATAGCGAGAGTATAGCCGACACTATCAAAAAAAGCCAACGATTGAAGATGCCGTAGTCCGCCTCTTGGTGCTGTTCTTCGGTATAGTTTGAGTAGCCTGGGCGCCAGGTTCACTTTTGACGGAGAACACCGGCATTACATTTCGAGTAAAGACTAGTCATTGCATGGTTGAGGTATGTCTAGATAGTTCAAGTTTTGAAGAGTTTTCCTTCGGTGGATATTCACGGATGAGGGCTGAGTTGGGGTGAAGATAAATCTACCATAACTTAGTAGTGGGGGCTAAATTTTGTAGATTAAATTTTGACATGTGTGGAAGTTTCGCCCTTCTATCTAAGACTATAACTACTCATTCATTTAGTAATAAGACTATGAATACTCATTCATTTAGTAACAAGTCTCTACCCTACATAATACAACAACGAATCTACAACACGTTAATTGATAAATATGGTATCCAAAAATCATGATCCCGTGAGCCTTCTCCCCTTGGAGGTAGTTGGTATGGTCTTTCAAAATTTAGCAATGCGTGATAAAATGTAATACTTCAATTTTTTTCTGTTATTAACTAACTAACAATGTCCTAGGATCTGCCTGGCTGTGAGTAAGAGTTGGAATAACTTTCTTGAGTGTACGAAGACTCTGTGGACCACACTTTATACAAGTCGTGCATGTCAGCCCATTTCATTAAAAGCATTGGAACAATATCTTAAACGCTCTGATTCTACAGTTGATAATGCCCTACTCCACCTAGAATCATTTGCAGATAAGGCAAATATGGAATATCTCACGAACACATGTCACAGATTGATAGATCTGAGAATCCATGGCGAAGGAACTTTATCACAGTCACAGGCCGCTTTCTTGGCCACAGCCAAAGGAATTCAAAAGCTTCATTTGTCGCAAGATACTCAAGTTACCTGTCAAACAATGGTCTTCATATCCGATATTTGCCGCCAGACGTTAAAAGAAGCTAAATTTTTGCATGTCAAAGAGAAGGAAATTAGAGCAGTAACATCATGGCCCAGGATGAATGCCCTCACAAGTATCCACATGGATTTCGTTGGCTTTTGTGCGTTGAATTTGGTGAGTCTCATCTTCTTCGCATAAACCATTAATGATTCCTGGAATGCAAAAAATAAGACCCTACCTTTCTTAGTTAGCCTTGCCTACAATCATAAAAATGTAGTTCAAGACTTATATTTTGCTTAGTCAAAATTAATTGAAGCTACCCCAAAAATCCGATCTGCTGCGATCAACGACTGCCAATCGCATGAAACTTCTCGGCTGGATATGACGCCCTGGCCTAATTTGGAAAGACTAGTACTCACGAAAACCAAAATCTATTATTTTCCCAAACTCCCACCAGGATTAAAACATCTAATACTTGACGGAAGTTGCAATTTATATCCAAGTAGTATCGATGATGACAATAGTATTTTCTCACTTCCATTTTTGGAGACCTTTTCATTCCAAGATAACAATATCGATATTCCGCAAATATTTGCAATAACTGAAAGCTGCATTCGAGCCAATAACCTGAAAATAATTCGCCTCGGTGGAATTGCAATACCTTATCCATCAGACAACTCCCTCTGCGATTACTTCCCCGCCTCGTCTACAGTAGAGGAACTCTCGATGAAAGAACTTGATATGTGGGATGAAGATGCCACCGAGATAATTAAATTGTATCCAAGTCTCAAAAAAATTGATCTCTCTAACACTCAAATTACAAAAGCTACCGTTATGGAGCTAGTTGATAGAGGTGTGGAGTCAATCATTATTAATGACTGCGATAAAGTGTATTCTAACACGGTCAAAATGGCAAGGGCAAAAGGCGTGTATGTTTCCTACAAATTCATTGACGACACGGACTCTACAAGTGGGGAGAGGGAATCGTAAGCCTGTTAACTGTTACTTTTCAATCGAGTCAAGTCCTGTGGTAACTCTGTACATCTCATGAGAACTCCTGGTTGGTTGATATTCTCGAAATTTAAATATCAAAATATGACACTTCCGAGCATGATACCTTCAAAATCGCTTAACAAAAGTAGATAACTAAATCTTGGTGGATACAAAGTCTTACCCTTTTCATGTGGATAAAGACCGAAAGACACCCTGTCATGGTGTTAAATAATGTGAGAATGAAGAGTCCTATCAGGACTGAGTTTAGTCCCTTAAAATTTGGATTTTTTATCGGCCTCTAGTACCACAGGGTGTGGTTGTAACCCACGGCTGTACACAGGATTATGATGGGAAATAGATATGAATGGTCTTCATGGTAGACTCGAGACATTGGTTTTATTTGACAGATGTTTGCGGCTTAGTTTGTATCTGAAATTGGAATGTATATTTGCGCTGTGTAACGGAAACCGAGTTGGTGATGAATAAATCGATTTATTAAAGTATATAATGAATAAAGAAATCTCTAGCTACTACTAACACGTACTTATAAAGTTTGATCCACTTCATAAATCTGCTGACTGATTATTTATCCCTATGCCTAATACTTGCTACCGAGCCAAATATTATCAGCAGCCATTACGCTATGATGTTGCTTAGACCTCCTGGTTAGTAGTGCCATTTCTGTCGGTTTATCTAAAACGTAAAAGTAGATGTGTCATCATGGATGTGCTAGCCAGAATCCACAGTATAAAATAAATTGTTCGGTATCTTGATTTGGCGCCCTGAGGCCTATTCGGGTTTTTATCGAAAGATATGTTCTATACGTCGGATAACACAATTCGACGTTTAGAACATTCACACTCAGATTTCATTTGCAGATACCACTCGAGGTTAACCCTTACGGCGTGTAACCTCTTCCGTGCATACCCACCACTGGAAAAAGCGTGATAACCCTGTGGCTGTCCGAGTGTGCTTTAATCATCCCACAAGTACAATATCAACGCGGGGGACTATTCTCAACACCTGTCAGTGGTGTTCCCTACCAACCTCCAGCTCTCACTGTAGAGTCTGCAGAGCCGAGATTGAGTAACAAAGTACTCGCTTCCACGAGGATTCCCAATTGATTTCGCGGTCTGTATCGTCTTCTGTTGGAAAATATACTCTGTACGATATTATATGGATAAATATGATGAAGTAAAGAAGACTTGATATTTTACAACTATGAGAACATTGGACTTATATATACATCTTAGGGGAGAAATTCCCACTAGTCTCATGTGCCTGTCAAACCTAGTGATGACCAGCCACCTCTCATCTACCATGATGATCCAAGGTACACTGTAGTACGTAAATATCCAATTGTAAATGCAACAGTAGGCGCGATTAGCGCACTCGTGACATGTGTAGAGAGAGTCGATCTTGTCGGGAACCCGAGACGAAACAGGTAGTGGTTGAGTCCTACATTCGAGAGTCAGAATTTCCAACATCTTTATCTCTCAACATTGCCCCCTATCACCATTATTGTGAAGCTAACCACGATCAGATCAGATGATAGTGTCGAAGCCATACTCATCAACCACTCTTGGTTATTGAAGAAAAGCCATCCGATGAGTTTCCAGAGCGTACCCAGCACCCGATACGGCGATGGTAGATTGGATCAAGTCGGCCTCGAATGTTATGAAGGGAGATATAGATGAATATGCGCACCTCATGTGGCCCCGGTGTCTAGGCCTCGCCTGGCTAGGGCTGTAGGTTTTTTGAGACTTTTTCCCGCGCACGCAGTTTCCATTGCTACCATTTCTTTATTTTTTTGGGTAGAAATCTCAGTGTGATAGATGGCTAAACTCCACGGGTAAACACTGAGCTGAATGAATATTCATCACTGGCAACATATCAATGATCTTTCAAGGAACATAAGAGGCTAGGAGCACTGTACAAGGTGTGGCCTGGGTCAGAGCGGAGCTCAATCTGCTAGATAGTCATAGACTCAAGTAATACAATGTAAACACACACAATATCACCGCGCGAGAGAGTGGTGTGTGGGTCTCAATGGATTCGAACCAGCTATCTCCTGTCGTGACGGCTTGTGAGCCGATAAGTCTTGTAGCCTTCGATGGCTATCGAAGGCAACCTATATTCTCTATCACTCCGAGGATTATCAGCAGACGAAAACTGATACGAGATCGCCGCTGAGTCTACATAAAGGATAGTGCCAATAGTATCGGAAGCGTTACCCGTGTGGCAGAACAAACCTTACGTCAGTTTCTTTGCCACTGTAAACGTAGGCTAGATTTAGATACCTCTGGATGTGTATAAGTAGCAGAGGAGACTTGAAGGTAGTTTGCTTCTACATAGATGAATTATAGCTTTACCTTTCAATCATATAAATGCTCCTTGCTTTCTATAGTTGATCTGTGACAAAGTAACCCAATATTTTTGTAATGGTAAGAGCTTACGGAGGTTAATTGGCAGAAGGTTTACGGATGATTATCGATGGATCAATGTGAACTGCTGATATTCTTGATATTCAGAACTATAAGGATTTAGGAGGTAGAAAGCGCTAATTATATACACATCTGAGGTAGCTAGTCTCTCGCCTCATTTACCCAAATCAGTATCACGAAATGTTCTAGTCTCCTCCATCTGGCAGTACAATCTAGAAACACTTTCTATACAGTGCTCTATTGTTCCTCTACTCATCATGGAGCCACCTGGAAAGTTCTTCTTTCACCCTCAGTGATCATTACCCTTGTGCATCGTAATCCTAGCCATCACCAGCACAACAAATATCTACTTGGGAGAACGGCTCGGAAGGTATACCACTGCAACATTCAGCCTAGGATACGCAGCGAAGCTGTAAATGCTGTACAGTGTAGAAGACAGGATATTATGAACATTTAGACCTACACAGAATTGTGCAACTCTTTAGTGAATCATTACGATCGGTCGTGAAACCACCCCGCAGTAATTCCAATAATTTCATCTATATTTGTCGATCCCCCCTCTTTGTCACGGACCAAGGGTCTATTCTGAGCCAATAGGAACTATGTACGAAGATATCTGTGGTTTTCTGCTAATGTTCTATCCTAATCTGTTCTGTTCTGTTCTACCCTATCTTACTCTACTCCATTCCATTCTAATCTGTTCTGTTCTGTTCTGTTCTGGTCTGTACCTGTCTAGACTATTATATTCTGTGTGAGAGTATACTGGAAAGTTCGAGAACAATAGAGAGGAATATATAATGGGTAATTGGGATGACCATGATTCAGCAGATTGTGGTCTTGTATCTTTGGAACCTTTTTGATAATCTTCAACACCTTTGCAAATTAATCTATTGAACATCTGAACTCTTGACCTTTCGACTCTTTGACCTCGAGACACCAATTGACCTCTTGAACCATGAATTCAACAAATTACTGACCCTTCGAAGCATTTCTGTTATTGACACTCTTTTAGTCTTGTCATGATTTTTCCTAATTAAGCGCTTAGGTTTACCCCTAAGCTTAAACAACAATCAAACTATGTTGTGCTAGTGATGGCTAGGATTACGATGCACAAGGGTAATGATCACTGAGGGTGAAGGAAGAACTTTCCAGGTGGCTCCATGATGAGTAGAGGAACAATAGAGCACTGTATAGAAAGTGTTTCTAGATTGTACTGCCAGATGGAGGAGACTAGAATATTCCGTGATACTGTTCTGGGTAAATAAGGCTAGAATCTAGCTATCTCAGATATGTATATAATTAGCACTTTCTGTTGCAAATCTAGACTCAGCATGTATGAAGGCTTAGATTTCTAGGTATGATCATCAAGATCAATTGAGTTGGCTCGATTGAATATGATTAAGCTCAGTTGGACGAAATAAGATTCAGTGGCATCTGGAATGCAGTGGCTAGGAAATGCTACCTTGCGATAATTGAGTGGCTGGTTGTTGTTAGATCACTGGGAGTTCGGAATCTGTATTTAAGTACAGACCCATCTGCATATGTAAAAATAAGTCAACGGAGTATTATATATTATTAATTCATATTAGGAAGAGAGTTCGATATCACATACAACTATCAATAAATTCTTGTCCGAAATTGTACACTTGTTCTTCGGGGTTTTTCCTCTTAGAAATCCTTGACAATTTCTAACACTTTCTACCTCCTAAATCCTTATAGTTCTGAATATCAAATATATCAGCAGTTCATATTAATTCATCGATAATCATCCGTAAACCTTCTGCCAATTAACCTCCGTGAGCTCTTACCTTTACAACAAACTGTAACACGCTGGAACGGCTTATATGGCTAGTGGAGAGATGTGTTGTCTTGTTCATTTACGTGCTAGGTAAAGTGATTCCTGTTGCACTCCTACTGGAGCTTAAGCACGGGTGGGGCCGGGCTGGATCAGGTTAACTACCATTAAGTACATCTACCTCGTCCCACCTGAATGACCGGACCATCTCAGACCTCAACCATGTGTTGAATCATGTCAAGCCCAACCGTCCAGAGAACCCCCTTTTGGCGTGCCGAAGCGCAAATTCCCTCTCAGCCTCGGCCACCACGCGCTCGAGTGTTATGATATGAGACAACGAGGTAGTCGAGGCTAGGGCATTGCGTTTGGCTCAAGGCCACAGCATATATCACTAGTGTACTGGTGTAACGGCTTGTGAGCCGATTGTTGTGCGGCACGTGATTGTATACACGTGCTTCTATAATTCTACAGTAGTCTAGCTTTATTCCAGATAAGTTCATCTGTAACTGGAATATTCTAGTAATTGGTAGAAAGACTGGGAACTACTATGACTGGAATATATTAGAAGCAGATATCAGCCAAGAACGAGTATTCTAGAGATCTTCATAAATGTATAAATAGTTGAAGTAATACTCTGATAGTTAGCCATAGAGAAAATTATAAACTACCTTTGTATATCTGATTGCTCCAGCATCGACACTCGAACCGTGACAACTGGTTAGGCGAGCATGTATATAGTTTCATAGATGTACCCACAA